AGGCTGAGATAGGAGGATCACTACAACTCCAAGCCATCTCACCAGCCCCAAGAATTGAAAAAAAAAAAAAAAAAAAAAAAAAAAAAAGGATACCCAACCCCCACTCTTCAACAGTTAAATCAGAATCTGTGGGGTTTTGTTTGGTTGTTTTTTAATACCAAGGACTGGCCAGGGATCTATAGCTCAGCTGCACAGCACTTGTTTGGCACATGCAAGGTCCTGAGTTTGATTCCTGGTTAAAAAAAAAAAACTTCCAAAACCAAAAAACTAGGGAGTGACTACTTTACACTGACCTACAGTCCCTGTCTTTTTTTGTAAAAAAGTTTGGATAAGGTCTTGCTAAGCCACTAAATTGCCTAGGCTGGGCTCTTCCCTCCTCAGCCTCCCAGAATGCTGGACTGCAAGCCTGCATCACCACCCTGGCTCACATAAGCATTTTTTTTTTTTTTTTTAATATATTTAGTACAGGGTCTACAAGGTATCCTACACAGATCAGACTCGTAGTGGTCCTCCTGTTTTCAGTCTCCCAAGTACTGGGATTACAGGTGCACCCACCATGCCTAGTTGCAATCAACATCTCAGCTCTTCCCAGGGGGCGGGGCCTGCACAGCACACCAGGGATCAAGCCCTGGTCCCTGCTGACAAAGGCATTTTTAAGTTTCCCAAATGAATTCTAACACAGTAAAGACAGAACCATACACATGGAGAATATATGTTGTTAGAAGCAAGAAAATACAAAGATGAAAATTGTTTCTAGCTGAAATCAGCACTGTAAACCATAAAATCTACAACCTACCAAAATTGTTTCTAAAATTGTGCAACTGAGAAGTTAAAATATGGCCTCCAAGATTTCTAGGCCTGTAACTTTTTTTTGTCATGCTGGTTTTTCTGATATGAACTCAGCTATTCACATCATTGGAAGAGCTCAGATCCTCACTGTCACTGAGGATAGCTATGGTTCTCTTTGAGGGATTTTTTTTTTTTTTTTTTTTTTTCCAGAACCAGGGTTTGAACTCAGGCCCTTGTGCTTGCCAGAGAAGCACTTATTCCACTGAGCCATCTCCCTGGCCCCTAGGCCTGTAACTTTTTTTTTCAGGACTATTTTATTTTGAAATTGGCATTATAATGTGTAATAATTTCATCTCACTCTAAACATGGATTTACATCACTACTGATATCCTTCCAAGAGTTTAGTGTTATGAAAAACTAAACTATAATGTGCTAGTCAAGGGGCCTTGCCACTTAGCTCAGTTGTTTAAAGCGCTTGCGTGGGCAAACTCAGTCAGACGTGGAGGTTCACGGCTTGATCCCCAGCTCCACATGAGGCACCAGACCCACCCTTAAGGCAGCCTAAGCCAGCACCCCCCCAAAAAAAAAGTCCTAATGTGTTGGTCAAGACACAGGCTTAATTATCTCAACAACTTTACTTATTGCACATAAGTACTGTTTTACTTGAATTAATACGGTTATAACTGCAATTCCAAACAAGTTTAATATGTTTCAAAAAAAATGTTTCCTCATTTACTAATACATTTAGTATCCATCATAGAAATGTTGTAGCTTAGTTTTATTCTCTTCATTAATCATATGATGAGCAAATTCCTCAAATTCTCCCAACAACCGCACACACCATTGCCATTTGTTTACCTTCATCTGCAAAATAAAAAAATGATTCCTTTGCTTCTAGCTACCATATATAAAGTGAAAAAAAACAGAAAAATGCTCTGAAGATTGTACTGCCACAAAGATACAAAGTTATAAAGACATTAAGAAGTGTACCTTATTCTGCCTCTACTATATAAATCCAAACACAAGTCCAATACTATTTGTCATCAAAATTATAGTAAGTTAAAGATGGCCACAAATTCTTTGACATGTTTTGCTTTAAGAGGTAGGTAGGAGTTAGGCTGGGGTACAGCATAAAGCCCTGGGTTCCTTAGCATGGGGAAAAAATAGAAGTTTATCATCTGTAGGAAGGGCTTCCTGACTGCTTTAAGAATAAAGTATGTTGAAAATAAAGTGCCAGTTTCTAGGTCCAAGCATTTAAGGAGGCTGGGAGCTTCTACTTGCTGTTGCTTCAAACATGTATCACTGAACCCCAGCAGCCATGCCATGATGAGGCCAACCCACACAAAGAGGTAATGCGTAGCATGCCAGTGTCATTCCCAGCTGAATTCCCAGCCAACATCAACTGCCATCGTGAGACTTCCCAGTGTCCAGCCCTGCTGAGCCTTGAGGTAACTCCCACCTCAGCTGCTTATCTGAGTACAAATGTGTGAACCCCTAACTGAGAACCACCTACTTAAGTCAGCTCGGACACTAAATTGACATCTTCAGCCACTGTTTTTTGGATTTGTTACACAAGAATGAATAACTGAGATAATAATAACATTCATCTTGTTTTGTTTTTGGTGACAGGGCTTCACCACGTTGCCCAGGCTGGCCTGGAATTTCTGGGATCGAGAGGCCTTCCTGCTGCAGCCTCCTGATAACTGAGACATAAAATACTTTTAAAATGCTCCCTTAGAGCTGCGCATGGTTGCACACTCCTATTACCTCAGCACTCAGCTTTAGACATTTGGACTGCCATGACTTTGAAGCCAGCCCAGGTACATTAGTGAGTTCACCAGCTGGAACTACACAGCCAGACCTTGTCTCACAAACACAAAATGAAGTAAAAAAGCTTCCTTAACTATATCTAGTTTAATTAGCAACATATTTAAATAACCTTTTCTCTTTGATTTCTACAAAAACAGGTGTATCTCCACGTAGAAAACGTCACAACACAACATTCTACATTTTTATTTTATTTATATTATAAAATTTATTTATTTAGCTACTGGGAATTGAACTCAAGACCTTGTGCTTGCCAGGCAGGTACTGTGCTGCTAGACTAAATCACTGGCTGCATTTTATTCCCAAAAAGTTGGATGCACTGATTTACTTTCCCTAAATGTCCTGCTTCACCGCGCCACATATTTTGTGATTCCTTTCATTATGCTCATATCAATAACAAACGTCCATAAGGATTAGAAAAGTTCATGTGAACATATTTTAAATAAAATGCTAAAAACATCTTAAAATGTTTTTGTTAGGTATCCTATGCATTGTTTTCTCAAAGAAAACATGTCTATGAGCAAAATTTCACTGACGTGTCTTTTCCTATTACTACCTAATTTTGCATCTTGTCGCGACAGGAATACCTATTCCAAACAGTCACACCAACATGATAAAGGCGTACTAAGATCTAAAATCACCTTCCTGGCACTCTACTGCAATGATGAGAATCCATGTAAATCTATCGTGAAGGGCATTCGACAATGAACCCTAAACCGATCGGCTTCAAGACAAAACATGCTGATGTAGCAAAGCCGCAGGAGCCTACAAAAGGAGCACTTCTTAAATACCATTTGGCATTTTTAGTGCTGCAGGATATATGCAAAACTAAGGAGGCTCTGGAGGCTCAAACCTGAGTTCCATCCTTTCATCTGAAACTTACAGCTCTGAACAAATACTAAATTTCCTAGGCTCCTCCACACCTCAGTCAGGTAAATATCCCAATTAAGTGACTTGTTCAAGGTCACAGGACAAGCGAGAGGCAAGAAATAAACCCAGGAGAGTAGTCCGCAGCTTTAGGTATAATTGCTTACCACTGCAACTCAGGGTTTAGATCATTTCCTCGGCGCGCTGGGGGCGAAATTAAGTTTCCCACAACTCTAGGACAGAAGGTACGTTTAGAAGAGAAAAGCTGCTATTTGCAGAAGTTAGTTTTAACTCTGATGAGCTTACTGGACTCCTCCTAGCACTGCACTAAAGTCAAGCGTGCCTGAGGCACAGGATGAGTTGGGAAATACTGGGAAGGGCTTTAATAAGGCCTGGGACGATAAACAGACGCCAGAAAATCGGAAAACGGAAGTCTGAGGAAGGAGGTCAAAATCGGTCTGAGTGTCCCAGAGAAGGGAGGAACGGCCAGGACCACCTTCCACGCGGAGAAGACCACCCGAACTTCTCCGGGCAGCCCCAGGGCGCTACGGGGCGCTGGAGGACCCGCGATCCTCCCCCGGCAGCCCGCCGCGCTGGCCCACCCCTCTCGGCGGACAGAGCTGGACTCCAGCGACCAGTGGCGGGCGAAATGGCAGCAGGCCCACGGTGGACGACTTCCCCGGGAAGAAGGAAGGGCCAGAGGCCGGGCCCGCACTCACCACGCGCCGGCCGACCCGCTAGCGCCCGCCTGCGCACCCGAGGCCCATCGCCCACCGCCCGAGGGAGCCGCGGCAGTCGTTACCCTGACGGAACCCAGCCGGCTCGGCCTCTTTTTCCCGATTTGCATTGCGTGGCGACGTGTCGCGTCGCTACACGTCACGGAAGGGCGGGACGTTCGTGCACGTCCTGGCCCCGCCCCCTCCGCCCCCACCCCTCTCGCAGGACTGAGCACTTCCGGGTTGGTTTGCGAAGCTGGATCTTGCAGACCTCAGGGGAGACTAGCGGCCGATCCCTCACCCCAAAAACCCCTGGACTCCGTCTATCCAGGCTCAACTGGGTCGTCCTGGCGCGGCGTCGCCCCTGGGTCCTTGCTTGCAGTTTCAGTATTTGTGGAATCAGCTCCTGAGGGGCTGGGTCACCTGAAATTGTAGGCTCCCAGCCTTTTTTCAAATGTGTATGTTTCTTTTCATTTCAGAAATGAGAAAAAAACTAGAAAAAGATTCGAATCCCTCATATTTTGGCTGAACCTCCTCCGGAGCCAAGCATTTAGCCAAAGAAAAACAGGCATCATCATAAAAAAAACTTCCTCACGTGCGAGGTCGCGTAGAAGCCCGTCTTGCAAAAGCAAAGCAAGAAGGCCGAGTTGTGGCCAGGGTCAGTGCTTTGAGCTACATCCTCAGCTCTTCTTATCTTTTAAGACAGGATCTTGCTAAGTCACTAAATTAACCAGGCTAGACTCAAACCGGTAATCCTGTCTGAGCCTCCCAGAGGGGTGGGATTACAGAAGTGTTGCCGGGCACCTGGCTCTCTGCAGTTATTTTCGTTCTGTTGATGTAACTGCTACAATCCTCATGAACTGAACATTCTCCACTTCCCTAAGACTGTGGTCAGTTTTGCTAAAACACCATCATATCCAGGAGTTTTTGTGAATACCGGGAAAAATTCTATAGTTGGGTCAACATGTGCAAAACAGAAAGCAGGCATAGAAACCGGGTGTCCCCACACCAGTAATCCCAGCACTTGGGAGGCTGAGGCAGGACGATCATTGCAAGTTCAACACTACAAAGTGAGCTCAAGGCCAGCCTGAACTACATAGTGAGACCTTATCTCAAAAAGAAAGAAAAAAAAAGAAAAAGAAAAGAGCTGAGGAGATAGCTCAGCGGTCTAAAGCGCCTGCTTAAGCAAGTTTAGGCAGGCACAAGGGACTAGGGTTCGATCCCAGCATCACATGTCACGCCAGCCCAGCCCAACCCTCATCAGGGGGTGAGCCAGCCAAAACAAAAAAGAAAGAAAGAAAGAAAGAAAGAAAGAAAGAAAGAAAGAAAGAAAAGAAACACCAGAAAGCAGGCACAAAAATGGCAATATGATTCCTAAATTGGGCTAAATTGGTGGAAGCAGAACAAACAGGAATTTTCATAGGTAATTCACAGAAATCTTGAGGTGGACTTTGGACTTTCAATACTTGTGGAATGAGAGGTTTTGTTTTGAGAGATGATTCAGCAGAAGACCACCAGTCACCTTAGTGCAGCAAAAGAACAATGAATAGCTCTGGAATTTTTATCCTATTCTCATAGTGCAAAAAAATTAAATTAGATTAAATTTAAAAGGGGGCCAGGGAGATAGCTCAGTAGAATAAGCACTTGCCTGGCAGCACAGGGTCCTGAGTTCAATCCCCAGTACCACAAAAAATTATATATATATATATATATATATATATATATATATATATATGTTCTTTGAACATTTTTGGCTGTGGAATGGAGAAGGACATGGATTGAGAACCAAAGAGGAATATGGGCGGGAAAAGTTTGCATATTTATTTACTTATTTATTTATTCATTCATTGAAACAAGATCTCACCATGCAGTCCAGGCTGGCCTTGAACTTACTATGTAACCCAGGTTTCCTTGAAGTTGGGGCGATCCTCTTGCCTCAAGCCTTCTGAGTGCAGTGACCTCAGGAATATGCCACCATGTCTGGCTGGATGGAAAAGTTTGTGCATGCACACACTCTCATGTATATGCATGCATGAGTGCACACACACATGTACACATATCCAGACTCTTTTTTCTTCTCTTTTGGCAGAACCAGGGATTGAACTCAGGTCCTTGCGCTTGCCAGGGAAATGCTTATTCCATTGAGCCATCTCTCTAGCCCCCATAGAGTCTTTTAAACAGGGACACTTAATCTTTCTGTGCATGTTGTAGCACTTAATGATTACATTCATTGGTGAAGTTGTTGCACGAACATAACACATCTCAATTCATTGTACTTCCCCATCTGTTTCCCTTTCCCTCCCTCCCACATTGCTCCATCTCTTGGTCTCCTTTCTATTTGCAAAAGA